GAGTGAGCTCAGAGGCCTTGACTGAGACAGGGCTCCTTCTGGGAGTGGCGGGTGGTTGCTCCTGGGCAGCTGGGCTGAGAGGTCAGCAGGATAAGGCCTCGAGCCACAGAGCCATGTGGAATCTCAGGAATCTGCTGTGGAGCGAGTCTGTCCTGAGGGAAGAGAGGTGGGAGGAAACTCTTCAGCCTTCCTTCTCTTCCATTCCAATCTCCCACCACCATAACCACACTGGGGGAGGAGTCTGAATTCAGCTCATCTCAAAGCAATTTGGAAAGACAGATACAGGCTGCCCGTGGTGAGTTTCTAGAAACCAGCTTTCCTTCACTGGCTGTTAGTGTTGGCATTGCGTGGGCTGTGTAGGCAACATTTACAGGATTAATGGTCTCGGAGTCTCAAGTGAATACAGCAGAAATAAGAGGGGCTGTGTCACTTTATATTCTAAGACTCAGAGCTGGCCAGGTGCCGTGGCTCATGCCTGTAATCCCAGCACTTTGGGAGGCCGAGGTGGGTGGATCATGAGATGAGATCAAGATCATCCTGGCCAACATGCTGAAACCTCATCTCTACTAAAAAAACACAAAAATTAGCTGGGCATGGTAGTGTGCATGCGTAGTCCCAGCTACTCAGGAGGCTGAGGCAGGAGAATCATTTGAACCTGGGAGGTAGACGTTGTAGTGAGCCAAGATTGTGCCACTGCACTCCAGCTTGGCAACAGAGCCAGACTCCATCTCAAAAAAAAAAAAAAAAAAAAAAGACTCAGAGCATGGAATTTCAATCTTTCTTGGTCTGATCTGTTTACTCACTTGTAAAGTAGGGGAAGTTCTGGAGCAGGACAAACAGGTTACACGAGATGAGGGTTCAATGCTGAGCATAGCTAACAGCTGCTCAATAAACGTGGCCCCTGGAATGACAATGACTGTTATTGCCTGCTGCCAGGACAGCACTGGGCAGTGTCATCAGGGAAGGGCTGGAGCCCATAGGCTTCAAGCGTTGGTTGTACTCCATTCCTACTCTGGTAAAAGTCCCAGGAAGAGGATAAAGAAAGCAGAGACTTCAGCATTCTATTCTTTATGGCCTTGGACACTGACCCTGGTTCCGAACGTGCCGTCTTCTTGCCTCTGTTTTCAAATTCAAAACTATCCCTGAAGAAGATTTAGCTCTGGGTCCAAATCTGGCCTCTGCTTCCAATTGCGTAGCTTTGAGAAAATTACTTTCCTCTCTAACTCTTTCCTTCTTTATCTGTGAAATTCCTATCTCACAGGAATGTCGCGAGGATGACATGAGTTTATACCTGTCCAGAAGTTAACACAGGGCTTGTGGGGCACGGAGCATGTGCTCAATAAATGGCCATTACAATTATACTTAATTTCCATTTTAGGAACTTGAAGTCTCCAGGGATGACAAATAGTCAATGCTCGAGAAATGAAGTAAGAAAAGAAAAACTGGTTTCTTTATGTCTTCTCACCCCATCCAGATCGCTGGGTTTGGCCTACAAATGCACTGTGTTTAAACCCTTATGCGCTGATTTCTGTCTTCTGGAAAAGGTCTTCACAGCATTCACATCTCTGAACCATCTTGTCAGAGAACTTACTACTTCCATTTTTTTGTTCTTTTTTTGAGACGGAGTTTCGCTCTTGTTACCCAGGCTGGAGTGCAATGGCGCGATCTCGGCTCACCGCAACCTCCGCCTCCTGGGTTCAGGCAATTCTCCTGCCTCAGCCTCCCGAGTAGCTGGGATTACAGACACGCACTACCGTGCCCAGCTAATTTTTTGTATCTTTAGTAGAGATGGGGTTTAACCATGTTGACCAGGATGGACTCGATCTCTTGACCTCGTGATCCACCCGCCTCAGCCTCCCAAAGTGCTGGGATTACAGGCGTGAGCCACCGCGCCCGGCTATTTTTTTGTTCTTTTAAGATGGAGTCTCACTCTGTCGCCCAGGCTGGAGTGCAGTGGCGTGATCTTGGCTCACTGCAACCTCTGCCTCCCCAGTTCAAGTGCTTTTCCTGCCTCAGCCTCCCTAGTAGCTGGGATTACAGGCCCCCGCCACCATGCCCAGCTAATTTGTTAATATTTTTAGTAGAGATGGGGTTTCACTGTGTTGGCCAGGCTGGTCTCGAGCTCTTGGTCTCAAGTGATCCACCTGCCACAGGATTATAGGCATGAGCCCCCGTGCCCGGCCTACTCTCACTTTCTTCCCAAGGATAGTCAAGTGAAACAGTGGGAGTGGAGAAGGAACAAAGAAACCTGTAACTGTTTGTGATCAATTAGCTGTAAATACTAATAACCACTGCACTTGGACTGGCTAAGACTCCCACTTTAAATGCGAGAAAGCTGAGCTTCACAAAGGTGAAGTGATTTATCTAAGGTTTTCCCGAGTAGCTGGGATTACAGGCACGCACCACTGTGCCCAGCTAATTTTTTGTATTTTTAGTAGAGACGGGGTTTCACCATGTTGACCAGGATGGTCCCGATCTGCTGACCTCGTGATCCACCCGCCTCGGCCTCCCAAAGTGCTGGGATTACAGGCTTGAGCCACCGCGCCCGGCCTTATCTAAGGTTTTATGGCTGGTTTGTAGCGAGCCAGGATCCCAATCCAGACCTTCTTCTGCAGACCCTGGCTCTTCCTCTGTCCTGAGCTGATGCCTTGAGGGTGCCCTTCCCACGCTCCCCTAGGCCACCCCCTGCTCCCCTGACCTCTCTCGAAGGCTCCGCTTCGGTTCCACTTTGCCATTTGACTAAAGCTTTGGGAATCTCAAAACTGAAAAGTCCCAGACATTATGATCATGAAACACCACAGAGTGCCCCTGGGATTTTATTGTATTACATCATCGGGCTGTTTCTGTTTGTACAACAGACAAACTGTCTACTGCTGGGCATTTCTATGTCTCTTGACAAAATTCGTGATGCTGCTGTATATTTCACTCCATTTCCTTTTGCCCATCTTGTACTTCTCTCAATTCTGTTTCCTAGGCAGAGCAAAAGATGCCCCCAGATTGATAAGATCCTCATTTAATAGAAGGTGGAAAAGATGAGTCACAACAGGGCTCAGAACTGAACCGATTCTTCTGCAACCTGAGCCTCCTGCCTAACCTCCCTAGGGGGTTATTAGTTTAGCCCATAAGATGCAGGCTTTGCAAAGTGATGTGGCGTGTTGATAATGCTGGAAGATCAATGCTTGGCCTGAATTCAGTGGAGAGAGGCTTTAGAAGGCTCCAGGGAGTCAGGCCAGGTCTGCTAAGGGCAGAGCCTATCACAGGGCCTCAGGAGCCAGGCAGAGGAGGTGCAGAAGTGGAGTGAGCCAAGATGGGGCTGCTTTGCAGAGCATGTCTGGGAGCCAGTATTTCTCCAGATCCGTCAGCCTTCATTTACCAGCATCTCGAGTGTTTTTTTCTGTGCCGGGAAACTGCTCCTTCCTCTGAGCTTCCACAGCACTTCAATTGCAGCTCATCTGGAGCATGTATTTTATTCTTCCTGGTATTATTGTCAGCTTTTTTTATACTTTTCCACTAGATTTTAAGTTTCTTTAGATCAGGGACTGTCTCTTAATCACGTCTGGCCTTTGAGCCTTGCAGAAGTAAGTGCCCAGTATGCATTTATTGAATAACCAAATTAATGAATCAATAAATCAGTCAATTGCTCAACAAACATTTATGAACTATAGACTATAGTAGGGTCTTGGCAGGATGACCGCTTTTCTGAGCTGGAAGCTCCATAATGGAGGCTCTCCTATAAAGAAGCACTCCTTCTTTGTTACTTGACTGTCCCCTAAAGTAATTGAAACTTACAGGCCAAAGTATGGAATTGGCTGATGCAAATTGATTATAATTTGGAAGGTGCGTTTCGATGCTTATGCTGTGGTTGAAATATGAGTCTAATTCTCTTCTAGCGAAATGTTTTTAGAAGTTTGGGAGTTACTCATGCATAGGCAGCCCAGTCCCTGAAAGACTGGTCATTCTCATTAAAAATCAAGATGATACCAGCTGCCGCGTAAGAGATAGCCAACGTGGCCGTTTCTTAGCATTGAGTGCAGCTTTAGAACATCTCTTCACTTGGTGTGGGAGGCTCGGGCCCATCTTTGGAAGTTCTGTTCTTCCCCCACTTGGGAGGACCTGATTTTCTTAGGTGAGACTGACAGGCTATCAGAATGCACCCCCAAAGATACATTTCACCTTCAATGTGTATCATGCCCTAAATGAAGTGATAAGAAACCATATTCCTTAATACACCTTCTGCCTAGGTGTCCCTCCTTCCCCTCCTAATAGATATTCGGAGGATGAAAACGGAATTTAATTTATGCTTGTGTTTGTTTGGGTCCTTATGTAAAGGGCCACTTGCTAGAAAATGAGTTCTGAAGCAGAATGTTAAAACAACTACCATTTAGTGGGTTTTCACCTGCCAGACACTGGTAAGAACGTTGCACGCGTCACCAAATGAGGCGGGCATTTTTTTTTTTGTTTTTTTTTTTTTTTTTGAGACGGAGTTTCGCTCGTTACCCAGGCTGGAGTGCAATGGCGCGATCTCGGCTCACCGCAACCTCCGCCTCCTGGGTTCAGGCAATTCTCCTGCCTCAGCCTCCTGAGTAGCTGGGATTACAGGCACGCGCCACCATGCCCAGCTAATTTTTGTATTTTTAGTAGAGACGGGGTTTCACCATGTTGACCAGGATGGTCTCGATCTATTGACCTCGTGATCCACCCGCCTCGGCCTCCCAAAGTGAGGCGGGCATTTGAATTACTATTATATAAATGAGGAAACTGAGTGGTACCCGACTGTAACTTTTCCAAGGGTCACCAGGTCCCATGCTGAATAAATGGCAGAACCAGGATTCCATCCCAAGTCTATTGAGCAGCAATGCCATTCTCATTCCTGTTGCTGGGTGTTATGGCGGTGGCTGTGAGCATCTGAGGATGAATATCTTCTGTTTCCCTTCTAGGTGCTCAGGGAACAAACTTGCTAGCATCACAGGAATCTGCCTCAGCCCTCACTTCGTCTGATATTCTTTTTTTTTCTTTAGCACTGTGCAGTTTTATTAACCATTCAAGTCCAGTAGCATCTGGTAAGATTGGGACAGAATTGGGATTGAAAAGTGAACAGATATTTAGCATCTAACAGTTCAAAAGAAGCCACTACATACTCTTTTCACAAATATGTTTTCACAGAGCCAATACAGTACTAGCCATTAACCCAGTACACCAAGTGTACTGAAGTAGAAAAGATGCAACAAGAAAAATAGCTACATCAGAAAGACCAACACTTTAGAAAAAAACACTATCAGTTTCTCCCCTTTAGCCCCTAAAACAACATCTTACAGTTTGGATCTACCTATACAGTCCTACATTAGCTTCTAAAATATTTGTCAGGAGGGAAAAAATAAAATGACACTGGCCAGTACAGTCTTTGGATATTTAGGAAGGGGATGGGGAGAAAGTCAGTTCTCAGAGCAAATGAGTCAGCTTCAGTCTCGTCAGCAGGACCTTTGCATTCCTTGTTCTTCCGCACTTCTTCAACGTGCTTATCCTTCTCTCGCAAACGCAGTCAGTTCTCAGAGCAAATGAGTCAGCTTCAGTCTCGTCAGCAGGACCTTTGCATTCCTTGTTCTTCCGCACTTCTTCAACGTGCTTATCCTTCTCTCGCAAACGCTCCAGTTTCGCAGCCATTTGTGCCTCTCGGTTCTCTTTGTTAGCTTCCATTTTGTGGGTCAGTTTCTCTTCTGCCATTTTACTGAAGTCGTTGTTCTCTTCTGTCGCCTTCTGAAGCACTTCTTTCTCATGCTCCCGTTTCTCAGCAAGCTGCTTCAAGACCTCAGCTTCATGGGACTTGCGTCTTTCTTCTGCAGCTTCTAATTTCTTCTGAATTTCCTCCAGGGAAAGATCCTTCTCTTTTGGAGGGGAAAGGGGGAATTCCGGAACAGATTCCTTTGACCAAGGGCTGAGAATCAGCTCAAAAGCCTGGCCTGAGGCACGCTTCTCCAGTTCTTTCATCTGGATATCAGAAGAAGCCATGGTGAATAGAAGACAAGCGAGCTGCACAATCAACTGGGATAAGGAAAGTCCTGCTCAGTCCGAGCCGCCTGACCACACCCTCTCGTCTGATATTCTTATGCAATTGCACTACAATTTCACCTGGGATTCCTTGGGCGTATACACCCTATAAAGGTTAACTCAAAGGGAAGCTCAAAATATCCTGTGTTGAAACTTAAGATTAGATACTAGGAATTTTTGTTTTTTCTCTGTGATGAGCTGAAGGCCCTTAGCTGTCAATGGCCTCCCCAAACTCACTTTTATCATTTGAATCCCATGACATGGCATGTTGACAGGTGAGTGTGTGTTTTCCTGCCCATCTGGTTTGGCTTCAGCATCCGTGAGACAGTTGTGTGCAGGGAATTTTAGCAGTCCTCTAGAGGAGCAGCAGGCAGGGGTGGGCCATGGTGGTGACCACTGAATGAGTCTCGAGCCTCAATCATGTCTTGGAGAACAGCCCTAACTACACAGTGAAGGGCTCCTGTGACCTTAGGACTGGGCATGTTGAAACGATGTGGAAATATAGCTCCCTGGAGGAGGTGAGTGACCTTCCACATATTTCTGTTTCCTTTTGCCTTGGAGTGCTCTTACCAGAAAGCCATCTGACCCACAATTTCTCCCCACGTCAGTCAGTGATATTGGAAATTCCATTAGGATGTGAGATTTAAAGTGCACCTGCCCCTTGAAAAGGCGCCCTTCCATCCATGTGACTGTAATACCACTCCTATGTGCATGGAAGTTTACAGCAGTATGGAAGTGTTTGTGCTTCCTCATCCCGTTGTGAGTGCTCCTAGCAATCCATAGGCGATAAACCCTTTTTTGTCTTGGTTTATATAAAAGGAGAACAAGGTCAAGAGAGTTGGAGGGACTTGCTCCCAGGCAGTAGGTGACGGTAATAGAACTGAGACCTGGACTTTATGGTTCCAAGCCCAGAACGCTTTGCACCACACCAGATCTACTTCAGACTTATCCATATTTGTGTACACTGAGTTATAAGGCCCATTATCCCAGCACAGCTGGTAGAAAGAGAGGGCAACAGCCTGGGGTGCCTGCAGGAAGTGGGGCCTGAGGCGACACGGGGAGTACAAAAGGCAAAGAAGGATGCAGGAAGGGGGTGGCATTCCAGCTGCCACGTGGTGAGTCTTGCTTTTAGCTGAGAAGTGGCCACAGGAACCCCTCCTAGTCCTATAAGCCCACAAACATTTTTTTGTTGTTATTGTTATGACTTGCCTGGAGCAGTGAAATGTTTTCTCCAGCTAAGCAATAATAGAAGACAGTGAGCAGATGCCAACTCGGTGATCCCACGGGAAGCCTTCTGTGCTGTGGCGTTTACACAGGAGATGAGATCAGAGGAGCAGCTACCGGGTTGGTGGCCTGAGAGCCCGGCAGAGCACTGCAGGGGCAGCAGAGGCCAGACCCCTGGCTGGGGGAGCACAAGCAGCCCTTCTCAGGCACCAGAGGGGTGGTGAGGGAGACTGTTCAGATTTCTTGCCCTGGTCGATTAAAAACAGCTCAATAGCACCATATTGTGTATTCTTGACAAAAAGAAAGAGAATAGGAGCAAATGCCATTGCACCCAAGCTCGTGTTTTCTTTCTTCCTTTGCTCCTTCATTCACTCCCTTGCCTCTGTTGAGCATGTGAGAGAGCAGTGGCAGGTGCTGGGGATTCTCAGATCCTGTTCTCAAGTCGCTCATAGTCTAGATGGAGAGATAGACACGTCCATTAAGGAATTGCACTTCAGAGTGTTAAATACCCCAAAAGATTGAAATAGGCAGAGCAGCAACAGGAAAGAGGCATAATTAACTCTAACGGAAGTATCCAAAAAGGCTTCATGGAGGAAGAGTCATCTGAACTGTTTGTACAAAACCTGCACATGTCACAAGTGCACAGTTGATGAATTTTCACAAACTATAGTTAAAACCGTGTAAGCAGCATCCAGAGCAAGAAACATGACTGGCACCTGCCACCCTCATCAAGGGGCAACCATGTTCCTGACTACTAACGCAAAGGTAGTTTAGCCTGTTTTGAACTTCACATAAATGTAATAATTCTGCAAAAACGCTCTCGTGTCTGAGCTGGAGCTGAAAGAACAAATGGGAATTTTTCAGGGGACAAGGTAGAAGAGGCCATTGTGGGAAGAAGGGGAAATACAGTTATGTGTTCCTGAGCGATGGGACACATTCTGAGAAATGTGTCATTAGGCAATTTTGTCATTGTGTGACCATCATAGAATATACTTACACAAAATCAGATGGCATAGCCTTCTACACACCTAGGCTACACACAGATACTCAACACTGTGCTGCAATTGCCTACAGTATTTGCTATCATAACACGACAGTATTCCGAAAGGTACAGCTTGAGTCTGTGAGCATTACCATACTGAATACTGTAGGCAACTGTAACACGGTGGCATTTGTGTAGTTAAACATACCTAAATGGCCGGGCGCGGTGGCTCAAGCCTGTAATCCCAGCACTTTGGGAGGCCGAGGCGGGTGGATCACGAGGTCGAGAGATCGAGACCATCCTGGTCAACATGGTGAAACCCCATCTCTACTAAAAATACAAAAAAAAATTAGCTGGGCACGGGGGTGCGTGCCTGTAATCCCAGCTACTCAGGAGGCTGAGGCAGGAGAATTGCCTGAACCCAGGAGGCGAAGGTTGCGGTGAGCCGAGATCGCACCATTGCACTCCAGCCTGTGTAACAAGAGCGAAACTCCGTCTCAGAAAAAAAAAAAAAAAAAAAAAAAAAAAAGGTACATCTATATAGAGCACTTACCATGAATTGAGCTCGAGGGACTGAAAGTTGCCCTGGGTGGGTGAGTGAGTGGTGAGTGAATGTGAAGGTCTAGGACATTACAGTAAATACTGTGGCTTTATTTATTTATTTATTATTTATTTTGAGACAGAGTCTCACTCTGTCACCCTGACTGGAGTGCAATGGCACCATCTCGGCTCACAGCAACCTTCACCTCCCGGGTTCAAGTGATTCTCCTGCCTCGGCCTCCCAAGTAGCTGGGACTACAAGTGCATGCCACCACGCCCAGCTAATTTTTGTATTTTTAGTAGACACAGGGTTTCACTATGTTGGCCAGGATGGTCTTGATCTCTTGACCTCGTGATCTGCTTGCCTCGGCTTCCCAAAGTGCTGGGATTATAGGTGTGAGCCACCGCGCCCGGCCAGTACTGTAGACTTTAAAAACACTCGACACTTAGGCTACCCTAAATGTATTTAAAATGTTCTTTTCTTCAATAATAAATTAACCTTAGCTTACTGTAATATTTTGCTTTATAAACTTTTACATTTTTAAAAAACTTCGACGCTTTTGTAACAACACTTAGCCTTTAAACACACATTGTACAGTTATACAAAAATATCGTCTTTCTTTACATGCTTATTCTATAAGCCTTTTTCTATTTTTTTAACTTTTAAAATTCTTTTATGAGAAGTATAGACACAGCGCACACGTTAGCCTAGGCCTACACAGGCTCAGCATCATCAGCATCGCTCTCTCCCACCTCCACACCTTGTCCCACTGGAAGATGTTCAGGGGCAGTAATGCATGGAGCCATCATCTCTTACGAGGCCACGCCTTCCTTTGGAATCCCTCCTGAAGGACCCGCCTGGGGCTGTTTTAGAGTTAGCCTTTAAAAAGAATTTTAATAAATAGAAGGAATACATTCTAACATAACAATAAAAGGTGTAGTATTGTCAATACATAAACCAATGACATAATACATATATATATTTTTTCTGAGATGGAGTCTTACTCTGTCACCCAGTCTGGAGTGCAGTGGTGCAATCTCAGCTCACTGCAACCTCTGTCTCCCAGATTCAAGTGATTCTCCTGCTTCAGCCTCCCAAGTACCTGGGACTACAGGTGCCCACCATCATGCCGGGTTAAGTTTTGTATTTTAGTAGTAGAGACGGGTTTCACCATATTGGCCAGGCTGCTCTCAAACTCCTGACCTTACGATCCACCCTCCTAGGCCTCCCAAAGTGCTGGAATGACAGGTGCGAGCCACTGTGCCCAGCCCACATAATCATTTTGATCATTATCAAGTATTATGTACCATACATAATTATACGTTCTATGCTTCTGTGCAGCTGGCAATGTGGTAGGTTTGTTTACACCAGTATCACCACAGACATGTGAGTCATGCGTTGCACTGCAAACTTAGGATGGATATGACGTTGCTAGGGGATAGGAATTTTTCTATTGTAATCTTATCAGACTCCCATTGTGTTGATGTTCCGTCATTGGCCCAAACATCGTTATGTGATGCGTGATTGTATCTTAAAGAAGAGAGATGAAATAACATCATGTGTGTGGATATTGTCACCTTTCAGCACTGATGGGCCATGAAATTCCATAAACGGTTAGGAAAGAGGCATGAAATGAAATAGGAGAGGAAGGCAGCGGGAAATAGATCACAGAGAGCCTTCTACGTCAGGCAAAAGGGTCGAGCTGTGAGCCTGGAAACCAGTGATTTCCAAACCTGGCCAGTCATCGAAGTCACCTGGGCATCTGTCGAGGCCTACAGGTCCCAGGACCTACCATCCGCGATTTGAGTTTTCAGAAGTTCCTCCAAGTTTGTGACCAAGAACCCAAAAGTAAATGCAACAAAAACAAAAATAAATAGATGGGACCCAATTAAACTGAAAAGCGTCTGCTCAGCAAAAGAAATAATCAACAGAGTAAACAGCCCACAGAGTGGGAGAAATCATTTGCAAACTATGCATCCAACAAAGGACTGCTATCCAGGATCTACGAGGAACTCAAACAAATCAGCAAGAAAAAAACCCAGATAATCCCATCAAAAAGGGCAAAGGACATAAATAGACAGTTCTCAAAAAAAGATGTACAAATGGCCATCAAACATCTGAAAAATGCTCAATATTATCAGGGAAATGCACTAAAACCACATGAGAGGACAATCTCAAGGATAAATAAAATGTAGAAGTGATCAAATGGGTTGACCAATTAGACATGGATGGGCAGAGCAGGAGGACCCAAGGAAGACACCCAGGTTTCTGGCTTGTGTAGACTCCATGGATATGAGCAAACTTGGGAGGCAGAAAAAGTAAGATAATATTTTTGTTTGATTCACTCATCTATAATAACT